ACTTATTATTCCTTCTTATGTAGTACTTTGGATATTTCTTTATCTTCCTAATACTACTTTCACTTAAGCTTGCTTATTTATTTATTTATTTATTTATTTATTTATTTTACATGTATTCATTTTTGAGAGACAGAGACAGAGCACAAGCGGGGGAGGGCAGAGGGGAGACACACAGCACAGAATCGAAGCAGGCTCCAGGCTCTGAGCTGTCAGCACAGAGCCAGGCACAAACCCATGAGCTGTGAGATCATGACCTGAGCTTGAGGATTGGGCCTTAGCCCAGCAGCTGACCCACAAGCACCTACTTTTTTTTTTTTAAAGCTTACTTTTTTAATGTTTATTTTTTGAGAGAGTGCACACGTGTGCAAGCTCAGGGGAGGAGCAGAGAGAAGGAGACGGAGAGAGATCAAACACAGGCTCTGTGCCTCTGGGGAAGGGAGGAACCTGATGTGGGGCTCAAACTCACGAACCCCTGAGACCATGACCTGAGCTGAAGTCGGACACTTAACCAACTGAGCCACCCAGGTGCCCCTCACTTAAGCTTTTTCGTTTATTATAACAAATTGAAACATCTATTATAGTCTTTTCTTGATCATTTAAAAAAAAAGCGGGGGAGGGTTGCCTGGGTGGCTTAGTCGGCTGTGCGTCTGACTTTGATTTCAGCTCAGGTCATGTTCTCATGGTTCGTGATGGAGCCCCATGTCAGGCTAATGTGCTGACAGTGAGGAACCTGCTTGGGATTCTTTCTTTCCCTATCTCTGCCCCTCCCCTGTGTGTGCACGTTCTTTCTCTCTCTCAAAAATAAATAAACATTGGGGCTCATGGGTGGGTCAGTCAGTTGAGTGTCCGACTCTGTTTTGGCTCAGGTCATGATCTCACAGTTCGTGGGTTCGAGTCCCACATCGGACACTGTGCTGGCAGCAGGGAGCCTGCTTGGGTTTCTCTCTCTCTCTCTCTGTCATAAATAAACATTTAAATTAAGTAATTTAAAAAAATAGCCATTGATGACCTACTTTATGTGTTTATGCCAGATATTAAGCTTACCTCACTTGAGTTCTTAATAGAAGAACACTGGGTGTCAGAGAGGGGAGCTGAGATTTTAATCTGTCTTAACACTAAAACTCATTTTCCTTTCATTAAACATGAAGTTTCCTTTTTCTCTTTTTATGTTTTTACTTATTTTTGAGTTAGAAACAGCATGAGTGGGAGAAGGCCAGAGAGGGAGAAAGAATCTGAAGCAGGCTCTGCACTGTCAGCATGGAGCCCATTGTGGCTCAAACTCACAAACTTCATGACCTGAGCCAAAATCGGACCCTTAACCAACTGAAGCACCCAGATGCCCATCCTTTTTCTCACTTAATGTGCTTAGATAGGTGTTTCTAGGTGAGTTTTGGGTGACTAAACAATAAAACTCATAAAGCCCATCTTTCATTCACAAGGTTGTTCAATGTGCATTAGGTATACTATTTGTTCCTCGGTGCAATTTTTTTTCTTTACTGCAAATTTTCAACAGAAAATATATACTTCAGATGGATTGATAACTTACTTTCATTTTCTAATTTCTTAAGTAATTTCTTTAAAAAAAATTTATTTATTTATTTATTTTTTTTTTTCCCAACGTTTATTTATTTTGGGGACAGAGAGAGACAGAGCATGAACGGGGGAGGGGCAGAGAGAGAGGGAGACACAGAATTGGAAACAGCCTCCAGGCTCCAAGCCATCAGCCCAGAGCCCGACGCGGGGCTCGAACTCACGGACCACGAGATCGTGACCTGGCTGAAGTCGGACGCTTAACCGACTGCGCCACCCAGGCGCCCCTAAAAAAATTTTTTTTAATGTTTATTTGTTTTTGAAAGAGCGAGAGAGAGACAGAACACAAGTTGGGGAGGGGCAGGGAGACAGGGAGACACGGAATCTGGAGCAGGCTCTAGGCTCTGAGCTGTCAGCACAGAGCCCAACACGGGACTTGAACCTCCCAGACCGCGAGATCATGACCTGAGCCAAAGTTAGACCCTTAACCTACTGAGCCACCCAGGCACCCCAAATAAGACCTAAGTTTAAAGAGGGTGAAAAGTTATTTCTAACTGTGTGCTATTAGTAACCTCAAGTCTTCTTCAGAAAGTTATAAGTAGTTGTTCCAGGTGAGCTGTAATTGAGTTTTTGCACAAGGAAGTTAAGTTTTTAGTAACAAAAATTTTTAAGGTAAATTTTAAAAGTATAATAGGATTTTAAGTAATTTCTTTAAAATAAGGAGTTGGGACTCAAAGGTCAGTATATTCTTTCTGATTAAGTAGAAATTAGGAAAGTATAGGTAGCACAAGTCTGGAAAGATAATAAATCTATGTCTTTGTGTGTCAGAATGAATTTGGTTGCTAGGAAAAATTAAACCTGACTAATGGTGGCTTTAACAAGTAAGGGTGGGGGTGGTAGGCCACCCCAGGAGTCTTCTAGTGGCTTAGCCACAATAGAGCTCTGGGTGAGCCTCTCTGGTTTTCTTCTTGTAGGCTGTGACAGTTATAAGCATTACATTCATAGACAATAGCATCCCCAACTGGAAGGAAAAGGATATGGGAAATGGGAACACAGTGAATGGTCTCTTTAGCAAAAATTTCCTTATTATTGGCCAAACTATGTCCCATGATTGCCTTAAGGCAGGAGAGCAAATATGTGACAGTGGAGAGTAAGATTGCACACTTGGCTCAGAGCAGTTATTATTCATCTCCTACTATTGGGCATACTCCTGCCCTAAATGAAATCTGGGTTCTGTTAGCCAAAAACAAGTTAGGAATGGCTACTGGATAGGCAACCAACAGTGTTGTCACAATATGATTACTTTTCTTCTAACTGCTACACGATCTACTGGTGGACTGTGAAGCTTATACTCATCAGAATTCCTCATAGGACCCTGGTTTTTGTCTTTAGTTTGTTGTGGCGTTATTTTGTCTCCTGGCTGGCAAGGGGTGAGATAAAACACACAATCTCTCTGATTTCTTAGTTGAGGATTTGTTTTTCCTAAAAGACACATTATGAATGCTGAAATGGAAATCTGTAAGAAGGCGGTCCTTGCCTGACATGTTATTTTAGAGGGCAAGTTTGGTTCACTAATAATCTTCTCTGTAGTATGATACTAATATTTTCTTTATATATTTTCTATCCAGCTATCTCTTAAAAACAAAGGCCATAGTAAATGCATCTGAGATGGATATTCACAACTTATCTCTACCAGAAAAGATTGCAGAGGTAAAATTTCATGATGGTTGTATATTGACTATAATACAGGCATACCTCAGAAATTTTGTGGGTTCAGTTCTAGACCACCAGAATAAAACAAATACCATAATACAAAGCAAGTCAGATTAATATTTTGGTTTTCCAGTGCATATAAAAGTTATGCTTATACCAAACTGTAGTTTACCTAAGTGTACAATAGCATTTTCTAAAAAAAACAACATGCATACCTAAAAATTCTTTGGTAAAGGGACTAAATAGCAGAAGAAAAGAGAAAGAAGTAGAAAAAATGTCCCAGGAAATAGTTGAAAAATTCCCAAATTTGATGAAAAACATAAATTTCCATATCCAAGACCTCAATGAGCCCCAGGTAGGATAAACACAGAAGAGATTTATTTATACCCCAACATATCATAGTAAAAATGTGGACAAAAAAAAAAAATCTTGAAAGCAGCAATAGAGAAATGATTCACCAATCCAAGGGTATCCCCAAACAAAGGAGAGGCTCTAGAGTTACTTGTTTAAGTCATAGTTCCTGATGAATTTTGATTGTTTTTGTATCTTGGATGATAAAAATGAGATTTAGTGTATGGTGCAAATTATGTCAGAAATAAGACTTTTGCTAACCCAACTTCAATCCTCTGTAATTCTGTATTTCATATTTTATGCTGAATAATACCACTAAGTTTGGTTCTAGATATAGCTATTCATAGGTGAAAGAACTATTGAAAATTGTCTAATTACACCAAACATATGTTCTTAACAGGGCTACTTTTGAAGACCATTGGCAGAATATCAAACAAAAGCATTTGTTACCGGAAACAAAGGAAAAAAGTTAGATTCTTGCCACTAGGAAAGGAAAGGAAGACTAGTTTATGCTTCTCTCCGTAAGCTTTCTTACTCCACCTTATTCTTGTCTTCCTTTCCAGTATTTGGAGTTTAAACCTGGTGATAAGAGGTAGACAGGAGAGAGACTGAAGCAGTGACACTCAGCAATGGCTGGTCTTTTTTCACATGAACTTTGTATCTAAGGATCTCATTGTGCTCTGAGTTTGTACCATAAAGTTCTTTCAGACATAGAAGAAACATATTTATGAAATATGTTGAGACATTGCCAACTCCCAATCACTAGTTTAAATTTGAAATGGCTTTTATAATCACCAAATTGAGTGTTAAGCTTAAGATGCCCTGATACCTATTTATTTTTTTTCCTAGCTGAAAGAGAAGATAATGTTAACTCATACTCACTTAAATTCACTGATGAAGATTCTGAAGGAAGTAACTCCTGACCAGCCCAAGCCAGAAAACTGATCCAGAATCGGAGTTTAAGTATTAGGGTCGGTAAATAAATAAATTAATAAATAAATATTTTTTTTTAAAGTATCAGGGTGAGTCCTTGTTGCTGTCTTCAACAACAGGTGCTGTTTGATCAATTCGCAAGAAAGATTGGCTTCAAGAATGGATGAGAAATGTGGTTTATTAGGATTTTGTCTAGGCCGATTGTCCAGAGATTTCAGCCTGTTCTACAAGATGAGAAACTAAAGAGCCTTCTGTCCAGCTTTTTTAATGTTTATATATTTTATATGTGTTAATGAGCGGGAGGAGCAGAGACAGAGAATCCTGCTAGGTTCCTGTAATAACGCTGTCACCCGAGCCTGGTATGGGATGTAATTCTCAACTGTAGGATATCATGACTCCTGACAAAATCAAGAGTCAGACACTTAACCAACTGAGTCTCCCTGGCCCACCCTGTCTAGGTTTTATAGCTATTTGTCTTAAGAACTTATTTTAGCTTGTAAATTTCATAAATGTTTATTTCTGAAACCCTCTTTTGCTGCAAATTTAGGTTGATGGGGAGACAATGTCCCGTGAATGCCCTGATATAAAGATGTGCAGTTGTTAGGTAAAGACTGAGAAGCCACTTTTTTTCTTATGTAAAATACAGGTACATACATATTTTATAGGTAATATTCAATAAGTTAACTGGAAAATATACAATTTATCTTTCTCTTTTCATTTGTAAACTGAGCTTAACCAGGTAATAAAGGAATGATAAACATCATTCACCAAAATGCTCTTTTTTCATATTTTGCTTTATGTAGCACATGGGCTCAGTAGCTTATCATATTATTCAATAAAGATATTATACTAGCTTCTGGGGATAACAGTTAAGCCAAAACAGCCACTCTCTACCTGCACAGAGCTTATTGTCTCAACAGAGATGGACATTCAAATAACCACATGAATACATGTGAAATTACTAGTGTAGTAAGGATTTTGAAGAAAAGGGACATAGAGCTACAAGCACATACAGCATGTAACGGACCTGGTCTGGAGGTCAAGAAAGACCTCCCTGAGGAAGTGACATTTCAGCAGTGGTCTTAGAGAGTAGGAGTTAATAAGGTAATGGAGGGAGAAACATGTGCAAAGGCCCTATAAGGTCCATAAAAGAAGGCCTGCAGGAGTTACACCAGTGGTCAGAAACCAGCGGTGCGAGGACTTACTCTCCTCCTGAAGGATGGTGGTTGTTATCACAAGAACAGTGGAAGCCCTTGAAGAATTTTAGAGGAGGCCTGTGATAGGATTGGTTTTACTTTTGTAGAACCTTACTATGGTTGTCTTGTGGAGCATGGGTTATAGGCTCAGCAAGCAGACCACTGAGGGACTGGCAAGAGCACAATTGAGACATGATATAGCCAGGTTGACTTGGTTCAGCTGTAGCTAGCAGCATTTTTAAAAAAATTTTTTCCATTTTATACTACATAAAGGACATTTCCCTTTAAAAGTATTTTAAATTTGGGATGCCTGAGTGGCTCAGTTGGGTTGAGTGTCCAACTCTTGATTTCGGCTCAGGTCATGATCTAGAGCTGTGGGATCAAGCCCTGTATCTGGTTCCACACTAAGCATGGAGCCTGCTTAAAATTCTCTCTCTCTCTCTCTCTCTCTCTCTCTCTTCTGCCCCTGCCCTGTTTGCACCCTCTCGCTCTAAAAATTAAAATTTTTAAACAAAATTCTGACTTGCTTTATGCTTTTGAGTTGCAAAATCTGATTCCATAAACAAGGGTGAAACCTCTGGCAACAAATAGTACCAGAAAAACTCTTATTTTCTACTCAAGAATGAGACATAAGAAATTAATACTGTATTGAATTATCCTGTTGTGTGTGTGTGTGTGTGTGTGTGTGTGTGGGTATGTTCTTATGTAGCTATTTTCCATAACCTCTGGATTTGCTGATTTGGCAGACAAATAGAAATTTAAATGCTCGAACTTTACGTCAAATTAAACTGGCTGGTTTTAAATAGGTTTTTTTCCCCAAATACAAATTATGTGCTTATTCTAGAAAAAAGTTCAAACATAGATGTATGACAAAGAGTGAAAACTACACTTCCTTTCCACCTTTGAAAAGCATGGGATAGCAAGCTAGAAAGTGAGCATGCTCTGGAACCAAACTATTTGGATTCCTATCACAATAGGGTAGTGATACTTCTAGTGATATTTTGGATACTTCTAGCCATAAATGTAAAGAATTTACATAAGCTCTTCTTATAAAATAGGGATTAAAAACTAGGGCTGGTTTTTCCCTCTTCTGGAGATGGCATCATAGGCATTCACAATGGTCCAGCATTTGACATCCCATCTTATGCTGTCCTATAATACAGCCTGTAACAAAACTTAAGGTGTCCCAAACCCCTGGAATAGAATAATTTACTGTTACACCAAGGAGATTGGGAAAGCATCAGAATCAGCGTGTGGTGTGTGTGCTCAGGCTGGCTTCAAGGAGTTCATGCTGTGAGACCTACAGTTCTTATGAGGTTGTCTACAAGGAGAAAACAGCAGGGCCTAGGGTCGTTCCACATGTGCTAAGTGTGTTTGTGATAGGATCAAGCATGCTTTCCTTATTAAAGAGCAGAAAATCATTGTGAAAGTGTTGAAGGCACAAGCACAGAGTCAGAAAGCTAAATGCAAAAATGAAGCTTTTTGGTCTGGGGTGTCTGGCTCTCAAGGTCATCATCTCATGGTTTGTGGGCTCAGGCCCCACATCGGGCTCTGTGCTGGCAGCATGCAGCCTGCTTGGGATTCTCTCTCTCCTGCTTCCTCCTCTTGCTTTGTCTTTCAATATAAACTTGAAAAAAATTATTTAAATCAAAAGGCTTGTTCTGTTAAAAAAAAAAAAAACAAAAACTAGGGCTGGGGGCACTTGGGTGGCTCAGTTGCTTAAGCATCCTACTCTTTATTTCGGCTCAGGTCATGATCTCGGTTTGTGAGTTCAAGCTCTGCCTCAGGCTCTGCACTGACCATGCGGAGCCTGCTTGGGATTCTCTTTCTCTGCCCCTCCCTTGTGCTCTCTCTCAAAATAAATTAAAAAAACCAAGAAACTACGGTTGTAGTGAAGAGTAAATGAATTAATGAATACATCTAATGTAATTACAGCAGTGCTTAGCACATACTAAGTGTTCAATAATCTTTATGCATGTGGATATGCATATATAGACATAAAGGCAGTTATATCTTTCACATTATTCTACCATCTGCTTTTCTCAACTTTCCATACCAGCCCATATGCAAATTATTTAGTATCTGCATGATTCAATGATATGAATATATCAGAATTTAACCATTTCTTATATTGGATCCTTGTATATATCTTTGCATAGTTGTACTGGTATTTCTGTAGGAGTGATTACTAAAATGGGCCAAAGGGCATATGCATTTATAATTTTGATATTATGCCTTCCATACACTAGTTGATACTCCCAAATGGCTGAATTTTTAAACAACCCTTTTAAATGATATTTTTAGGTGGTATGAGTCCCTATGAAAGTCTAACAAACATCAGTGACTGATATTAACAGATTCTAAGGCTACTTTGCTACAGTTTGTTACTGAGCATTGTATATATATTGAATAAAAGTATTTTCAGAATTCCATATAGTCATGAGAATAAAACTACATACTAAAGTTCCTCCTGAGTTGTAAGCATTTAAGCTCCTGAGTTAACAGAAACTATTTCCATTTTTGTAATCCCAACATCTAGTACAGTACCTGGGAATGGAGTATATCACTATATATCAGTGTGTGTTAGTCAAAAATCAAAAGAATGATTACATTAAGTAATCGTACCTCAAAAGCCACATAGCTTTTGTTCCTCTCCATTTGACAAGAGCCAATCCCAAGGAAGTTTGTAACATCTACTTTTTAAATTTTTTAATGTTTTTTTTATTAATTTTTGAGAGAGACAGAATGCGAGTAGGGGAGGGGCAGAGAGAGAGGGAGACACAGAATCCGAAGCAGGCTCCAGGCTCTGAGCTGTCAGCACAGAGCCTGACATGATGCTTGAACTCACAAACTGTGAGATCATGACCCGAGCAAAAGTCTGAATCTTAACCAACCTAGCCACCCAGGAACCCCTACTTTCTTTAAACTTGAAAACACTTTCCCCTAAATTAAGAAGCATCTCTTCTTACAGTGTTAAGCCTCTTTAGTTAAGGTAGCTAATGTTTAAATACTCAATGTAAAAGCATTTTAAATGTGTTACGTATTTCAGATAGGAAGGATTCTCTGCAATAGTTTTATCATTATTGTACTTAGCTCAGTAATTCCTTACCAGAAACTAAACATTTGTTCATACCTAGCCCTAAAGGTGGGAATGACAAGAGTTTAAATGGGATGCCTCTTTGTTCAAATGGCTGCCAGTCCTCTTGGTCTACAGCAGAAACTGCTACAATAGGTTATCGACACCCAGGTCTTTTGTCTTTTCTGACATCTGGAGCCTACCTCAGCCTACGTCTCTGGTTTGGTTCCTCCCATTTTAGTAATCTGCATTATTAGAAATTACCTCTTCCAAGTAATGAGTGACACACAGTGAAGTTTCAGTGCATTCTCAGCCCATGCTGCTTTATTGCCAAAAAATATATATATACACACACACAGGTACAGAGTTTCCAACTCGTATAGCAGTTCCCTTTTACATCAAAGAATAACATTTCTTCTGAAATCCCAAGGATGCATAGATTAAAAAAAGCAAGCTGCCTTTTGTAATACTTTCAACATTCAATGAAATCCTTTTAACATTTTACCAATGGTGCAAGTGAAGAAAATGCAGAACAGCAAGTAAAAACAACTGTACTTGTAGGACAGTAAATAAAAATATGTGAATGATACCCTAATATGACTGTAAAGGATGGGTGGTTTTAAGGTAAGTGCCAAGACTATTACTGTTGTTGAAGGGCTGACGATAATGTATTGCCACAATACTGTTCTTATACCTGGGAGAAAAACTGATGGCATGGCATACTATCACCAAAGGAGAAA